CACTCACTGAGTGTCCACTGAGAACTCAGCGCTGGTCCAGGTAAAGGGAAACAGCAGATGGCAAAATAGACCAGATGACAAAAATAGGAAGGGAATGAGGTAGTGAGGGAATGAGACACTGACACTTTATCAGGGTGCAGACATCTCCTGCCAAGGGTCTCAGCAGTACTTTATTTATACATTTCAAGCAAGCCATGGGAGTACATAAATGTGTGCTTTCAAGTGAAAAGCTAACAATCGTGGCATTTTTTCCGAACCAGCCTGGGGTCTTATGACTCCTTGTTAAGGTGATAATGATCTTTTTACTTTGTTCTAAAGGTAAATATAATTACCATACAAAAAGTCCCCACAACAGTCATTTATTTTCCACAGCCCAGTAATTATTTTGTTAGTGTAAAAACCAGCAGAGAAACAAAATAACTTATGATTAAAACTTAACTTCCTTATAAGTGCTAAGTTACTAATTAATCAACATTTATAAAATTCCCAAATCTTAAACTTTAAAAAACATAATTACTTTATATATTGGTACTCAAATCCAATTACTGCTAAAATCAAAAACTTTTCATTCCCATAACTAATTTACTCTGATTTAATAAAAATACTAAATCATTAAAAGGAATTAAAAAACCCAAAGAATCCCAGTGCCTTTTTTTAAACCCAAGCTTCAAAAAGGAAACTCCTTTTACTTTTTCAAGGCAAAACTTTTACCTTTTGCTTCTATAAATGATCTTGTCAATTAACTGCTATCTCTAACTTCAAGACTCCTCTTCATATTGTCTCCGCCTTAAAAGACCACAAATCTATATCAAAGACTTGGCCGGGAATGTTTGCAGTTTTAAGTTCCCAGAAGTTTTTAAGTGTGACATATCACTTATTGTAAAATCAAATTTTGAGTCACTGCCTCCAAGCAGAGAATTACTGTTTCAAAATATACTGTTTGTATCATGCAGTGTCATCGTTGTGTTTGTATCATACAGTGCCATTGTCTTCAAATTAGTTATTTAGTATTTGGTCATGCAACTGTTTGCAGTTTTACTTTTCAAGTTCCTGTATTAACAATAGCCACATTCAGAAGAATCAGCCATAAACAATAAGAAGAATCTAGCAGGAGTCAGCTAACGAGATTCCTGACTTTTCAGAAATCTGCCCAGGCCCAGAATTTAGTTAGGCAGCATGAATTCTTTGGCTCGCCTTACCAAAAAAATTGAAAAAATATGCAGAAAGACCAAAAAAAAGAAAATTTAAATGAAAATTAAAATTACCCACTAAAAACCAATAATACAAAAAAAGCAAAACCAGGACAAAGGGTAAAGAATAGAATCTCGTAGAACTGAAGTTCTGGAATATACATCGACTCACCTCAAAAAGAACAAGAAGGAAGAAAAGAAACGAAACTGCAACAAGACTAACAAAATAATCCACCCACCAACTAAAAATAGCAAAATAACAAACCATTACTAAGGTGATGACCTTAGAGACCAGGACACACAGTCTGACTCCACTGGTCATACGATTATAACATACGCTTGTCTCAAAAAGAACACCAAGGAAAAAAATATGCAAAACTGAAACAAATAAAAGAAAAATATCCCAAGGCCAATCGATAATAAACCAATAGAAACCATGTGCTACCGAGAAGAACATAGAGGCCAGGATACACAAGAGTTTGCCTCCACGGGTCACATGTCTCCAAGCCTCAGACAGAATTAGTTCACGAAGAGCTGTGTGTGGATCCAGAGTCACGCTGACTGATAAAAGAGAAAGACACATTTTATTTGCTGAGAAGACAGAACACTTCAAGTACAACCTTCCTGGATTCAGGTGCTGCCTACTTCTTCTAGCTCTGTGAGTCACTTTCTGAGACTCTGCATGCTATAGTAGGAAATCATCATACCTGCCACAGTAATGGTGGGGAAATTGAAGGAGCTAATGCACCCTACTGCTTGGAGAAATTCCTGGTATTTGGTATGTAAGAAATAAGTGGAAGTAATATCCTCTCCATCACCATCACCATCACCAACTCAGTCCCTCAGAGAAGGCAAGGGACTGAGTTATTGCGGTCTAGAGTTATTGCTGTCCTCTCCACAACCCTATCCCCCATGTAGGGCCACCTAGAATCATGGAATATTGAAGCAAAAAAGAAGTTTATCCCCATTTTTTTAGTGATAACCTTTCACACTGATTATCAGAAAGAAAAATAACATAGGTCCTGCCATATTTTGTTACTGAAACAGTTACCTCAGATCCCAGTATTCTATTCAGCCCTCAGAGCACCTGTCAGTCCCAAGAATTTAGGAGTGAAGTCTTTTATGTTGCTGTAGATGATAGTCCATATGGTCCCAGGGATTAGTAAAAAGTGATACAATTTATGCTGGAATAATATCAAAAGGACATTATTCAATGTCCTGACAAGCATAAGTAAATCAAAAGGATCTGACAAGCATAAGTAAAATAGAAAAAAATAATGATCTTTTTAAGTGTGATACTGGCCAGGAGAGTAATTTTTTTTTTTTTAAAGATTTATTTATTTATGCATACAAGAACTGGGGCACAGGCCAGAGGTGTGGGGGTGGGGGTTAGAGGATTCACCAGTGACAGAGTGCGGAACAGAAAAGGCAGACTGAGTGAAATACACTGCTGAGGGGAACAGCAGGCCAGTCAGGAGAGGTCTGCTGCTCCATGTGGGTAGCTCCCTGGCCGAGATCAAACTCCTCCAGCAGTGGCAGCAGACAGCTTTGTAGGTTGCTTCTTAACCCCTTGTGCCACCAGGGAGGCCACAGGAGTGTAATTTCTTTCTTAAGTGTGATGCTGGCCGGGAGTGTAATTGCAAAGCAACAATAATAATAGGATTTCAAGCAGTAAGTGAAACTCTCAAATATTCCTGTATTAAACACCATCAGCCACCCCAAGGCTGAGACCTGAGGGCTGACCACTGAGCACCATGCTCCCACCCTGTGGGATCATGATTTGTGTTTGTTTCAGTCAACGGGAAGCACTGGAGGAGACCAGGGAGCAGAAAGAAGCAGAGCTAGGAGTCATCAGGACCCAGGTCCCTCTCCACTGCCTGAGAGGCAAGTGTCCACCATCTATGGCTGTTGACACACGCCCATCCTCACAGCTCCCTCCACCTGCCACACAGGCCCAGGGTGGTCGAGGCCCCTACCACCTCCTAGTCCTGGATCATCCCCGCTTACCGCTCTTGTTGTCACCATTGGAAATGACCTCTTTATGCAACTCTCTTCAATCAGTCCTTATCTTCCTCTCTTCTACAAGTGAGATTTTCAATTCATGTTATATGAACAATCCAAAATAACTATAGTGCACTGATCCAAATAAAAAGTAAATTATACTGAAAGGGGAAAGATCCACTGGACCTTTATAACTACCTGTTGTTTATAGTGAAACTGTAACTTGAGACATGAAGGATAGATTATATAGTTACATAGCTGCTACATTTATCAAATAGTATTAAAGTATTATTAAGGGATAACAGAGATACCTAATTTATGAATATACATTTCACTAGGAAAATTTCACAATTCCAAATATGCATGCACTATATAACCTCAAATTAAACCATGCCAAAAGTCACCATAAGCAAGGCCAAAGGGAAAACTCTCCAATCATCCTAAAACATTTTAACATTCTTCCCTCCATAACTGACAGATGAGGCTGGCCAAAAAGGTAACTAAGGTGGGGAAGACTTGGACAGTTCAACCAGACTAATTTAATAGACAAATTAAAAAAACATGAATAATAAGTAGAGAAAAATGCAGTTTACATCACATTTTCTATATGGACTATGTAGACATTGAATAAGACTAGTTACACAGACTGGTTATTTGCAGGCAATTCAGTGTAATACAATAATAAAAACACCAATAAAAATGCTAAGATTCTACAATCAAAATGCTTATAAATGATAATGAGTGGATATGGGAAAGTCCCTGGGAGCAACTTAAATAGAAAATAGATGACTCCTGGGTCTCCCTCAGGGCACAAGAGGCTAAAGAGAGCACTGTGAAGTTATCCACAGCCTCTGCAGCATGAGTTCGATCCCTGGCTGGCCATCCCTGCCAACCTACATGGCACAGCAGACCTCTCCTGTCTCACCCACTGCTCCCCTCAGCAGTGTATTTCAGTCAGTCTGCCTGTTCTGCTCCCCACTCTGTGTCTGGTGAAGCCTCTCATCGCCCAACCCCAACACCTCTGGACTGTGTCCCAGTTCTTGTATGCATAAATAAATAAATATTTTTTAAAAAAAATAACAAAGTTGGATAAAATACATACTTCAAATAGTATCACAACAGTGCAATCAATTCAGGTTTGACCTCTGTCAGGTTCATTCTGATTTTACAGCCAAAAGAACTATTAAAACATATTGAGTTTGAATCTAATTGTGGACATATGGAAAATGACAAATACTAAGTAAGAACACAGGGATTGTAAAGCTCAGCATTGGAATTGGTCATACTGGCTTTCATTAGGATTCTAACATTTAGAGGAGTCAAGGCCTTAAAACCATTTTCATCAGTTTAGAATACTGATCTATCTTTCTTGCATTGCTGTGAGTTTAATGAAATGTTAATAAATGTTCGGTTGTAGACACGTTCTAAACACTGCATACATTGATGCTGTTAAATGTCATGATAAGTGAGGGAAGTGACATCTGCTATATTGTTATTTAGATGGGGAGAACAAGCAGGTGATTAGCCTGGGAGAGGAGGAATTGAAGAGCCTGAAGAGTTAACCAGGAAGCTACATCCCTGCCTGCCCAGGAGGGAGAGAGTTCCAGCTCCACTGAGAACAGCTAAACAGCCTCTCTGTCTCTGAGTCGACCCAGGGACAGCTGCTCAGTTCATGACCACCAAAGGGGCATTTTATGTGAAGCATGAAGGGAACTGTTGACTTCACACACCTTGGAAGCACCTTAACATTTTCTTCATTTCAGGGTAAAGCTTAGAAATGTGGCACGCAGTTTGAGGCTCCAAACAGGTCTCTGGCTGTTCCAGCTTCACATCTGAATTCCTACAAGGAACAGGGACATTCCATTCAGCTCTGGGTAGACACACAACTGCCCACATCCTCACACTCCCACATTCATACAGACTCACCTGTTTAATGTGCCTTTCACATCCTACAGTAAAAACAAAGACAAATGTGAGTGTGGGGAAATCAGTATTTAGTGTCACTTGACACATGGGGTTACTTGCTATGAACACTCCACCCCAGGAAGTAGAGTGACCCAGCCTGACACACCCACACATACCCAGGTAGAACGATTCCCATCCCTGTCCCCTAGGATAGTCCCTACCATTGTGTGTGAGTGTGTGATGGCACTGGCTCAGGTTTGAGGGGAGTCATGGTGTCTGCATTCACATTAGCCCGCACCTTAGGTAAGAGGCCAGGAGCAAGATTGTGATATCTTCTGCTATTAGTGATCCAATTTCCTTCTGAGAAGCCCATATTAGCCCATATTACCTTTGTCACTTATGACAAAGGTCCTCAGTGGGGAACCCATGCCCAGCCCCTGGCGCTGAGCCACTGAGGCAGAGGCAGCAGGTTTCACTTGCTGAGGGTGCTGTCCCGCTACATCCTCACCCTCACAGTGCAACCACCAGTCCTGCAATAGCAAATGGAGTCCAGGCAATTATGTTCACCAGCTGGAAGCTTCAGGCAGCTGAAATGAGGTTCCCTAAGAGCTCATGGCCCAAGACAAGAGATTCAGGAGAAGGTTATCATTCATCTTGGCTCCCCCATTCTATACCACCAGTCATTTTCAAGAGATGGTGAGAAGGTTCCATGAACAACTGACAATGGTGAATAAATGGGATGAAGGTCATTCTGTGGTTCCACATGACCAAGAAACCTACATTCGACCAAGAGAAGCAAGTTTCTGATTCACATACTGCCACTGTGATACATGCACAGGACATCCACTGACATTGATATTGATTTTATCTTTGGTTCCCAAAAGTGAGGTTTATGATAAAAAGGGAGAGAAGAGGAAAGGACACTTGCAGAGAAAGAAACGAGCAAAAGAGCTGCTGATGCTATAGATCTTCAACATTTATTACTTTAAATATTGAATGAGGCAGAGAGGACTCCCCAAACTTCCCAGGCTCCCTTGACATTCTCCTCTCAATAGATCAGAAACAGACACATTCTTTCTTTCCTCCAAGTTCACAGTCTCCCTCACCTGCAATAAATTCTGGGCTGATCCCTGACATTTCTTCTCTAGTTCCAGGAGGAGGCGCTCCAGTTCACAGCTCTGATTGTCCAGACTGGCTTCACTGTCCTGCAGTGTCCTCAGCAGCTGCTCTTTCTCTTTCTCCAGTCTCTGTAGATAAGCCCTCTCCTCCTCATGGCAGAGGTTGTGGAGTTTTCTAAACTCGGACTGGATTTCTTGTCTCCAAAGCTCTATGTTCTCCTAGAATCAAGAAAGTAGGCAGAAAAGGGGGAAACAAACCAAACATACCTCTATGGTGAGTCAGTAAACACAGATGGGACCGAGACACAGTGCAAATCTGCTCACCCCTACAATGAACTCAAACTGTCAATTTGCACAGCTGGCCGTATCTTGAAGATTCATGCAGAAGGACATGAGCCAAAGAGCAAAAGAGAAAGACCCTACGAGTAGTCTCATATGTGGGCCCTCATCAAATTGAGAAATAAGAAGTAGAACAGTGTCCCCCAAGCTGAAAGGAGGGAGAAATGGAGTTATTGTTCATGGACATAGAGTTTCCATTTCGAATGCTGAAAAAGTTCTGCAGACGGAGGGTGGTGATGGCTGCAAAGCAACTCAATGCATTTCATGCCTCTGGACTGTACACTTAGAAATGACCTAAAGGCTGCACTCTAATGTGGAAAGGTGATCACAAGCTGCAGCCACCTGGTCCATTTCCTTCTTCTCCAGACAAGGTGCAGAAGAAGAAGGCCCTGGAATGCTGAATAGGAGAATAATGGAATTTGGCTAACACCAAGTAACTTATCATTTATGAAGATGAAACCAAGCGCTGTGGGCAAGTAACACGCTATATATATGTTCTGAGGCAATTTCTTCAATGCAAAGCTTGTAGTGAATATAACCAATACTGAATTTAAGTCATCAGGCTCGTAGGAGAGTCCATAATACTCACCATGGGGAAGCCTGAAGAGTTACCAGATATATTATAGCGCTTACCCAGGATTCATTTTTCCTCTCTACGTGTAACACTTAGAAAAATTGGGAGACTCAGTTTTCATTTGTGGCATTTGGAATTGCAATTTGCATTGGTGCTGTCTCGATTCCCACAGCGCTTTAGTGACTGTGATATTGTGGTAGATGGGGCATTGTTTAAGATGAAGTGAAACTTTTTTTTTTTTTTAATGCATGTTTTTTTTTTTTTTATTTTTATTTATTTTTTTTTAAATATTAAATTTTATTTTTATATTCCCCCATACAATTGCAAACGCCCCATTCTGACCCCAATCCTTCCCCTCCCGCCCCCCCCCCCCAAAAAGTGTCTCTGGTTCATAGTTTTTTGTTGATTTTGATTTTCACTTTCTTATATTCATTTTCCTGGTCCCTTATTTAAGTTTTCTAGATTCCTGCTATGAGTGAGACCATCCGGTATTTTTCTTTTTCTTTTTGGCTTATTTCGCTGAGCATGATCCCTTCCAGTGCCATCCATGTTGCTGCAAATTGCATGTGTTTATCTTTTTTGAATGCTGAGTAATATTCCATGGTATATATGTACCACATCTTCTTGATCCAGTCATCTATTTTTGGGCATTTGGGCTGTTTCCAAAGCTTAGCTATTGTAAACAGTGCTGCTATAAACATAGGAGTGCAGGTGCTCTTTGGAATTGATGTTTCTGTGTCCTTTGGGTAAATACCTAGGAGTGGAATTGCTGGATCATATGGAAGCTCTATGTTTAGTAGGTCCAGAAATCTCCACACAGCTCTCCATAGTGGTTGGACCAGTTTGCACTCCCACCAACAGTGCACAAGAGTTCCTTTTTCTCCACATCCTCGCCAACATTTGTTGTTGCTAGTTTTTTTAATATGTGCCATTCTCACTGGTGTGAGATGGTATCTCATGGTAGTTTTGATTTGCATTTCCCTGATTACAAGTGATGTTGAACATTTTTTCATATGTCTGTTGGCCATTTGCATTTCCTCTTCAGAGAAGTTTCTTTTTAGCTCTTCTGCCCATTTTTTGACTGGATTATTTTCTTTGTTGTTGCTGAGTCTCATCAGCTCTTTGCAGATTTTTGTGATCAGTCCTTTATCATTAGTGTTGGGTGCAAAAATGTTCTCCCAGTTGGTGGGGTTTCTCTTTGTTTTTGTTATTGTCTCTTTTGCTGTGCAGAAGCTCTTTAATTTGATGTAGTCCCAGCTGTTTATCTTTCTCTTCACTATCACTGCTTTGGGTGATGTGTCTGTAAAGATGTCTTTGATGTGCAAATCCCGTAGTGTTTCGCCTATATTTCCTTCTATGTATTTTATGGTTTCAGGTCTTATGTCTAGTTCTTTAATCCATTTTGAGTTGATTTTTGTGTATGGTGTGAGGTAGTGGTCAAGCTTCATTCTTTTGCATGTAGCAACCCAGTTTTCCCAGCACCATTTATTGAACAAACTTTCTTTGCTCCAATGCATAGTCTTTGCTCCTTTGTCAAAGATTAGTTGACCATAAATCTGTGGGTTTATTTCTGGATTTTCTATTCGATTCCATTGGTCTGTATGTCTGTTCTTGTTCCAATACCATGCAGTTTTGATGATTATGGCTTTGTAGTATAGTTTGAAGTCTGGGAGTGTGATGCCTCCATTTCCTTCTTTTTTTTTCAGTAGAGCTTTGGCTATTCGGGGTTTTTGGTGATTCCATATGAATTTCATCAATAATTGTTCTATTTCTTTGAAGAATGCCATTGAGATTTTGATTGGAATAGCATTGAATCTGTATATTGCTTTTGGTAGGATGGCCATTTGAAGTGAAACTTTTTAAAAAAGATTTCTTTATTTATGCATACAAGAACTGGGGTAAGGCCAGACTGACTGAAATACACAGCTGAGGGGAGCAGGTACCCTGTGGGTCATGTAACTGGCCAGGGATCAAACTCATGCTGCAGTGGCTGCGAATAGCTTCATTGTCTGAGATTTGTCCCCTTGTGCCATCAGGGAAGGCCTGAAGTGGAACTGTTAGTAGGAGACATTGGACAGCTGGACTCTGGCATTGACATATGTTCCTTATATGGTTTGTAGTAATAGAAGTTCTCCCTATGCCCTAATATTCCAGAAATGAGGAGACAGAGGCAGTTGTAGCACCTACAGTGTCAGGAATCTTCTCCTGTCATTTGCAAATAAGGTCCTCTCAACTTCCAGGGATCTCAAAATGAGGGATGGAAGAGTCAAGTTTCACATCCACTCACAAAGAAGCAGGGTCAAGGTGGGAAGAGACTGAAAGAGGCAAAATGGCTCACACATCCAGGGAATTTGGTTATCAAATGATGGATTACATCCATATTCGTGAAAGAATATGTCTCTGATCCTGCAGAGACTGGTCAGCCACGGACACTGTCTTAGTGACCCACAGTGTGCAGTGCCAGTGTTTAAGTTTTTTCAGAGCTCATTCCTCATCACAACCTCACAAGCTTGAGTTATGGGAATGTCTTCTGCACTGGTCCTGTTATTTGTATTCCCTTAGGGTGGTATTGCAACCAGGAAGGTAGTGTGTCTGACCCTGTACTCTGGTAAATGTGCCCAGGTGAGTTCATGATCTTCAGACAGGAGGTAATTTCAGTTATTGAAAATGTGAAACCTGTTAAAGATAAGGGGCACAACAGCTTTGTTTCTCCTGACTGAGGTGATGGGATACCTACCAAGTTACTACTACAAGGCTGAAGAAAGTAGAGGGAAATTCTCCTAGATTAGACAACTAATGGAATTATTTTTTTAAAAACTGGCATATTCCTTGAAGTTGAACAATATGTACTGGTTTAATGAGAATAAATAAAATCAATGAGTATTATGCCCAGTCATAGCCTATACATGAATTCAGGATGAAAAATAGTTTGTGATCACTAAATTCAAATTCTTACCTCCCATTTAGTTATTTGCTGGGTCGTGAGCAACTTCACACTCTTACAGTGGGTTGCGCTCCCTTCAGTTTTGTCACAATATCTTGGAGCTTTTCCTGCAGGAAAAATTGGGTGAGGGATGGCTAATCCATTTCAAAATCTTCATTTGATACTTATGGTGAATCCCAGCCTCCAAGCTGTACAATAACAGTGAATATATTTTTGAGACCCTATACTTTGAGAGGAACCAACATGAGGGGAGTAGCATGTCATTCCCTAGGAGTCCCTGAGCAGCGGCTAGGATTGTAACGTCTTTCTGTGCTATAGAAGTGGAGGCTTAAGAAGGGAGCAGTAACCTGCCCAAGGGGCCATCATAGGAAGGTGGCGGGATGCAATTCTCAGCTAATCGCGGATCTAAGGATTGGATGACACCCACCACTACAGTCAGCCAGGAATATGCTTAAGCTGTAATCATTTGAAAGCAAATTTTATAAAATAATGTGCTGGACCAGTCATAGATAATACACAGTGTTTGATACACAGGGAACATTTCACATGTTATGCCGAGTCAGGACGGAGAGCCCAGGATGGCAGCTGAAGTTACAGAACCAGGTCATGAGGGGGCGCCCTGCTATCACCTGGAGAACAGAGTCATGACGTCAACTCACAGTGATTCATGTCCACATCCATCTCTTGGATTTATTCAAAAGTTCCTCACATTTTTTTTTCTTTTACTAAAGATTTATTTTTATTTATTTATGCATACAAGAACTGGAGTGTAGGTCAGAGGTGTCGGGGAGAGAGGATTCACCAGAGATCAAGCGTGGAGCAGAACAGGCAGATTGATTGAAATACACTGCTGAGGGGAGCAGTGTGCAGGACAGGAGAGGTCTGCTGTGCCCTGAGGGTTGCTCCCTGGCCAACATCGAACTCATGCTGCAGTGGCTGGGGATAGGTTGATAGCACTGAGACTTGAACCCCAGTGCCACCTGGGAGGCGCCCCTTTCTCACATTTTCAAGAGAAAGGATCTGGAACTTACTAAACTGTTCATTGGCGTCCACAGTAAAGGAATTGCCTCCTGCCCTCTGCAAACTCACAAATATACTCACACATCACATGCTCTCAAGATTGTACTCACGAACTAGTTACCAAAAGACTCATTTGCTTTTACTATGAGCACAGTGCTATTCTCAACTCTATATAAACAATGTCCTTACAGCTTATGACAACCTCCTGGTGTGTGTGTCAGGTGGGAGGAGACAGCTCTTTTCTCCATTTACACATGGGAAACC